TCGAACGTCATGTCGCTGCGCGTCGCCTGTTGTGGCGGGTTTAAAACGACGGCGTGACGGAGCAGAGTAGTTTCTTGTATGTTGTACCGCGAGCGCAGACGGGGGCGCCTCCGTTACAGTTGAGTAGAGCTGCGGCTAGCCCGTTAGTTAGCCAGCTGGCTTTTCTCAATGCTAACCCAAGTCTGAAGTGCTTCACTGCGCCGCGTATTTGTCTCTTAACGTTTCCTGTGAATACTTTAAATTTAAAAATAAATAAATAAATGTTTATCTGCGGTTTGAGACAGTTTGAGTTGGAATGGAGCTCGGTCTTTGTGGCTTTCGGGGTCTGCTATCTGACACGGCGCTAGTTACAGTAGTTGCTACATAATGTTAGCCGTTAGCTGCTGTAGCTGTCAAAGCGGCGCTGTGATTGTACCGCGGGTAAGTGTCACGGTCACCGCTGTGGTTAGTACTGTACTTACACTGTCAACTAGTGCGCGCGTGTTAATGGAGGTAACGTTTCGGTAACGACTCTTTTGAAAAACTATTAAAAAAAATGAAAATACGACGAATGAAAAATGGTTAGCTCAGCATATACAAAACCTGTTCACCGTTAACGGTTGCACTGCCGAGATGTTCGTACATAACTGTGACATCGATATTTGAGTGAGAAAATTTAATTTTTTTTAATTTGCTGTGATAGTGGTTCTCAAACGGGGGTGCACGTAGCCTTCCAAATTTTCAAAAATAATAAATTATTCACTGAAAGATGTTAATTTTTTGTGGACATTGTTTGTTTTTGTTTTTTTCCAGATTCTACCAAAACAAAGACTGGCTCCGTGACCTGCCCTCAAGAGACCGAAGTACCAAGTTTCTGGTACTTGTCAGACCAGTACCGAATTTGTACTGTGTGCCAAAGTAATGAAGTTTCTAGGACAAGGGGAGCCCAGCCCCGAGAAGGACCGCCATGTCACATTTGTTGTCTACCCGTGCGGACCGCTGGGGCAAATGAAGGGGGCAACTTTTCAGTAAACTTTTTTTTTTTTTTTTTATGGATTTCCATTTCTGGCCTCCGTCTCTCGTAGACAGAAACCTGTGCATTCTCCGTGCACACCTTCAAGGACATCGGAGAATCTAATACATAAAGGTTGCCTTCATCCCATCAACCGTTGCCACAGGACAGAAATGCAAACTGTCCGATGTCCAGAACACGGCACTTGTTCAGCGCTGACACGTGTGAAAACACGCTGATCGCCGCGGCCTTGTGTGCTCACCGCAGGAGCTTTTTGTATTTGCGGCCGATAAAGATGTGCACTACAGAACACTACAGGGCGCTCGTGCTCGCATCGGCTTCTCGGACCATCGCGCTCCGTGACTTCAGAAGTCTGTAGGGTCCAGGATCGGGAGCTCGTGTGCCAGCAAACACACTCTCGTATGCAATGGAGGAAGACATCGACGTCACATCCCACGTGGAGGTAAGATTTTTGTTATCCAGTTTGGGCCACGGTTTGAGAACCACTGTACTATGCAATATTAAAGAAATGCGAAGTACCGTATTTTTCGGACTAAGTATGAGTCGCCCTGGAGTATAAGTCGCACCAGCCGAAGGATTCTCGGCCCATCGCGCTCCGTGACTTCAGAAGTCTGTAGGGTCCAGGATCGGGAGCTCGTGTGCCAGCAAACACACTCTCGTATGCAATGGAGGAAGACATCGACGTCACATCCCACGTGGAGGTAAGATTTTTGTTATCCAGTTTGGGCCACGGTTTGAGAACCACTGTACTATGCAATATTAAAGAAATGCGAAGTACCGTATTTTTCGGACTAAGTATGAGTCGCCCTGGAGTATAAGTCGCACCAGCCGAAGGATGAAAAAAAACTGCGACTTACAAGAGTGGCAGATACTGGTACACCAGAAAAAAAAGCCTAGAGTGCCCTGTAGTGGCGGTCAGTGTGGAAAAAAAAAATGAAATTATATATTTTTTTCATATATACATTTATCATATTTTATAGTTTTTTTTGTGAAGTACTGTATTTTTAAGTATAAGTCGCTCTGGAGTATAAGTCGCACCAGCCAAAGGTCTGAATGGTCTTGAATAGAGTGATAGACACTACTGAGAGCGGACGCTGGCCTGCATGTTGCCGCTGCTCTCCGGCCGTATGAGCTCATCTCTCTCCTTCTTAGTGTTTTCTCGGCTTTCACACCATCACTACCGACTTGCTTTCATGCAATTGTGCGACACTTAATCGGTTCCATTGTCCAAGTATATCCTGCTGTAACTCCAGCCCTTTTGTTTGCAAGTGCTCGGGCTAACGCCGGTAGCTGACGCTAGCGCTGCTAGTGGGGGCTAACGCCGGCAGCTGGTGCTAACGCCGGG